ATCATGTCAAATTTATTATTTATGGTTATCTACATTACTCTCCTTCATTCTTGATATTGGTAATTCACATTGCTGGTTGTTGTTGTTATTGTTGTTATTATTATTGCCTGTACCTTCTCTAAGTTTGGCCACTCTTTTTCTAGCTTCTTGAGATGGAGTTTATGTCATTGATTGTTTTTAGGCTTTCTTATTTTCTGATATGTGTATATCAGGTTGTAAATTTCCTCTGAGTACAGCTTTTGCTGATATTTTATTGTCTTTATTTACTTTTATATATAGATTATATAACCTATATAATTATATATATAATTTAAATTTCAGTTATGATTCCCTTTGGTGATTATGGGTATTTAGAACTTTGTTGTCCAATTTACAAATTTTTGAGCAATTGGGTTTGAGTTCTTTATTTTTAAGATTTTATTTATTTATTCATGAGCGACAGAGTGAGAGAGGCAGGGATGTAGGCAGAGGTAGAAGCAGGCTCCCCACAGGAAGCCCAAAGTTGGACTCGATCCAAGGACCCGAACCAAAGGCAGACACTCAACCACTGAGCCACCCACGAGCCCCAATCCAGTCATTGTTGGGCATCATGATTATAAATATGTTATTTAGATCAAATTTGTAATTGGCTTGGTTAGATTTTTGCATTCTTACAGAATTTTTGTCTTCCTCTTCCGTCACTTACTGAGAGGTGTATCAATCTTTCCTCTCAGTGTGGGTTTGTACATTTTCCCTTTTGGTTTTGTCTTCTGTTTTTTATTAAAATAATTTGAAGCTGTATTAAGTGGTACATATAGGTTTAGATTTGCTTTTTGGTATTAATATATTGATTCTATTCTCTTAGGAAATGCCCTTAACTCTGGGAATACTTCTAATCAAAATCTACTCTGTTTTGGTTGGTTCTGGCATTACAACTTGCCTTTCCTCTACTTTTAACCTGTTTCTTTCTATTTTTTTAAACATGTTTCTTTATGTTGAAAAATGTGTTTGGGGCTCCTGAGTGGCTCAGTGAATTAAGCATCAGCCTTCAGCCCAGGTTATGATCCCAGAGGTTCTAGAATGAAGCTCCCATATCAGGCTGCTCAGCGGGGAGCCTGCTTCTCCCTCTCCCTCTGCCTGCCACTCTCCCTGCATGTGCTCTCTTTCTCCCTCTGTCAAATAAATAAAATCTTTAAAAAAATATATTGTAAACAGCATTTTTTTTTGTTTTTACCTGGTCCAAAACTCTTAGTCCTTTACTTAGAGTTTTTAGTCCATGTGTATCTAATACAATTATTGGTGTATTTGAGCTCATATTTACTGTCTTACTATTTGACTTCAGTGTGTCCAAACTGTTTTGCATTTTTTTCTTTCCAGTCTTGCCTTCTTTTGTGTTATATTATTTCCCTCTTACTTACTTCATTATGCATTCTTTTATTGTTTACCCTAGAAATTATGATATGTACTCTGATACTCAATACTCTAATAAAATCGTTATTTTAACCCCATTATGTTCTTCTGGCCATTAATGTTCTACCCATTAATGTTCTTCTGGCCTCCCATATTTTCCATTTTATTATTATGCATATTAATATACCTGTGTTTTGTATGTATTTTAAGACATTATTTTGTAACAGAACAGAGAGTATTCATTTATATTTTTCACATATTCACCCCTTTTCTTGCTTTTAAATACTTTTGAGTTTTCATCTTTGATCATGTTCCTCTTGTCAGAAGAACTCTGAAGTATTCCTTGTAGTGTAGATTTCCTGCTGACTAATTTTCTCCCATTTTTTTGTCTGTCTGAAAATGTCTTGTCTTTGCCTTCATTTATGAAGGATTTTTTTTTTAAGATTTTATTTATTTATTCATGAGAGACACAGAGAGAGGCAGAGACATAGGCAAAGGGAGAAGCAGGTTCCCTGTGGGAAGCCCAATGCGGGACTCAATCCTGGACCATGGGATCACACCCTGAGCTAAAGGCAGACACTCAACCACTGACCCACCCTGGCACCCTATGAAGGGTATTTTTGTTGGCTATAGACTTGTAAGTTTGCAGTTACTTTCCCTTAGTTCTTTAAGTCATTCTGTTGTTTCATGGTTTTCTGAAGTCAGCTCTGAGTGTTAACTGTTGCTCTGTTAAAGATAAGTTGTCTTCTCTGTCTGCCCCGCCCTCCCCAGGGGCTGCTTTTTAGGTATTTTTCTTCAGTTTTCAACAATTTAAATAACATTTTCCTAGGTGTGATATTCTTATATTTAACCTTCTTGGGGTTTGCAGAAGATTTTGAATCTGTATATTGTTGTCTTCAATTAGTTTTGGAAAATTCTCAGTCATTATCTTTTTATATATTGCCTTTGCCCATTCTCTTTCTCCTCCCCTTTTGAGATTACAGTTATGCATATCTTAGACTTTTCCACATCTTTTACGTGTGTGTTATATTCTTTTATGTATTTTTCAGTATTTTTTGGTCTGTGTGCTTCTGTTTGGGTATTTCCTATTGCCTTGTGTTTTCTATTTTGCCGATTCTGTCTTCTGATAAATCCAATGAGTTCTTAGTTCCAGATCGTATATTTCAGTTATAAAATTTCCACTTGATTCTTTTTATAATAGATTATATATCTATACATATATATATAATAAAGATTTTATATATATAATGTAATACTATAATTTCAATTTCTGGTTGAAATTCTTCATTTTTATTTTCTTGAACATATTTGACGTAGTTATATACAGTCTTGTGTATTAGGTCCAATAGCTGGATCACTAAAACACTATAATATTTTTCCTTGGTTTTACTCATATGGCCCTCTCTCTCTCTCTCTCTCTCTCTCTCTCTCTTTTAAGATTTTATTTATTAATTTGAGAAAGCCACAAGAGGAGAGAGAGAGAGAGAGAGAGAGAGAGAGCACGCACACAAGCAGGGTGGGGAGGGGCAGAGGGAGAGGGAGAAGCAGGAGATTCCCTGCTGAGTAGGGGGCCCCACACAGGGCTCACTGATCCCAAGACCCAAAGATCATGATCTGAGCCAAAGCCAACTGCTTAACTGACTGAGCCACCCAGGCACCCCATATGGTCCTGTCTTTTGAAATGTCCAGTAATTTTTTGTTGAATGTTAGACATTACAAAATGGTGAAGTTCTAGATGATGCTATATTACTACAGAGGTTCACCCTTTCTTCTGATTAACAGATAAATGGTGGATCACCTTAATTCCATCAGAAGTGTCTGAATTGAGGCTGGGTTGCAGTTTTGGTAGGTCGCTGCCTCCTTTGATTTGCCCCTGCAACTGGAGTGTAGCCATTCAGAGGCTTCCAGCTGAGAGTCTACTTAGTTCACATCCCCTGGCAGGACTTGAACTTTAATCCAGGTTTCCATGGTAAAACTGCCAAAATCTCCACTCTCCCTTTCAGAAGTTTTCTGCTTAGTTTCTTAGCTCCTACAGAATTTTCAGATATCTTGAAGGGAAAATTGGCTGTGTCAGACTCAGTCCTTGGCACTTTCCCTTCTCACCTACATCTTACTCCTTTCATTTTGAATTTTGTCTGTAGCCTTGTAGACCACCAAAGCTGTGCTGTTTTCTAGTACCAGCCTAGTCAAAGCCTGATTCTCAGCCTCTTGCCTCATGCTCAGATATAATAAATGCCTCCTTGGAAAAGTAGTGGCACTTATCTGGCCACCTTTCTGTATTTCCCTGCTCTCTGTATTCTTGGTCCCTCCAGTTCTTTTGCTTCAACCGTTCTTCAGTAGCTTTAAATAGATATTTTAAAACTTTTTTCCTATATTTTAAAATTGTTCTTGATGGAAACATTGTTTTAACACAAGCTGCTCCTTCATTCTTGGGAGTGATGGTCACATATAGTTTATTGTTACATATTGAATACCATATCTATTATACAGTTAATGTCTCAGTTTAAGTGACTCTTGGTTTTCTGACTGGATCTTGTATAGGAGGCCTTAAGAAAATACTACATATCAATGTAAAAACTGATTGATTCTTATTCAGTAGAAAGGCTTAGTAGTGAGAATATCTATTATCAGATCAAAATCAGCAATGACTCTGTAACTTATATAAATAAGTGGAAAAATAGGAGCACCTAGGTGGCTCAGTGGGCTAAGCATCTGCCTTCAACTAAGGTTATGATCTCGGGGTCCTGAAATCAAGCCCTGAGTTGGGCTCCCTGCTCAGCGGGGAGTCTGCTTCTTCCTCTCCCTCTGCCCTTTCCCCTGCTCATGCTCCCCCCCCCATCTCTCTCTCTCTGTCGCAAATAAATAAAATCTTAAAAAAAAAAGTGGAAAAGTATTTGATAGTCAAAAACTCAGATGCATATTTATTGGGATATTTGATGTGTTTCTATGGTTTTAATGATTATTTTAGCATGGTTTTATGTCTGGGACCACTGTTTTTTCTTTTTGTTTTTCTTAATATCAGCTTACAGTGTCCTATTTACATTATGTGATATCAGAGTTAAAAAATTTTTTTAATGTAACAAGGACAAGAAAATATGAGACAAATGTGAGAGATCCTTCCCTCTCCCTCACTCTCAAAATAACTACTGCTATGTATAACTACTTCTCTTCCTCCACCCCCACTCCCTTTCCTCTTTTAGCATTTTGTCTGCTCTCTCCTGTTGATACTTGTTAGTTGAAGAAAATGTAGAAATCGAAATACATAAGAAGAAGAAAATTTAAATCTCTTAAAATTCTGTCACCAAGCAGTAATCACTTTTTGAGCATTTGGAACATATCTTTTATGGGCTTTTTCCCAATGTGATTCTCAGCACTGTCTCTTCATTAATATCACCTCTAACAATTAAAATATACATATAGGTTCTGAAATAAACCTCAGTTTTAACCAATTCAGAAGCTTTAGGGATATAGCTGAGAGGATTTTGTTTCAAAAAAACAAAAAGTTGCCTTCAGAAATTTTTAAACTGGACAAAAAGAATATTATTCTATATAGGAAGTTTTAACTTGTATACAATTCTTTCTCTAATTATTCCATTTTAACTTCTTCCTAGCCATTCCACCCAATGGTGAATCTGGATTGTTCTCGGGATTTTCGGCCATTTCTTTGTGCACTCTATGCTCCTATTTGTATGGAATATGGACGTGTCACACTTCCTTGTCGTAGGCTGTGTCAGCGGGCTTACAGTGAGTGCTCGGAGCTCATGGAGATGTTTGGTGTTCCTTGGCCTGAAGATATGGAATGCAGTAGGTGCGAAAATCATAGATTTTCATGGATCATTGCTTAATGCTATATAGTATGTTTAAAATTGTCTTCTAGTTCATCAGTTTGAAAAACTTTTTTGAAGTATTTATTACCATTAATTTTGAAAAGCAGTTTCATGACCTCAAAATTGTTCATTTCCTTAGAAACTTGAAATCACAAAATGAAAACATGGAAAAGAGAAAAACGTTTGTGTGAAGAAATTTTTAAAAGAATTAAAAAACAATGAAGACATAGAGTTGATTTTTCTTCCTCAAAAAATTTCTTTTCTGGTTATATAAGCAATGCAATTAGAAAATAGAAGAAAATAATCACTCATTACCTCATCATTAAATGTCTTTAATGATGACTTAATGGAAGTTACACATCTGTATGATTTAAATGTGTTAATGACTAAAGTAGTTCTCTTTTTTTTTTGTCATGTATTAACAAACCAGAATTAGAAAATGAGAGATACTTTTCAGATCACTTCCAGTATATAGATTATAAGCATTTCCTAAAGACTTGAGGATGTTTACTAGATAATCTTATAGATTTATATGAGAGAATATTGTTAGTTATAATGTGTATAGTAATACTGTATTTTTTTACCTTTTTGTATTGTGAAATATTTCTAGAATAAGGAACAATAAGATAAATGCATATGTGCCAATTGTCTAGCTTCATCCAGTCTTAACATTTTGGGATACTTGCTTTAGTCACTTTTTTTCTTTTTAAGAAATAATACAGAGAGAGTTGAAAGTTCCTTCCTTGGTATCCATCTTGATTTCAATCCCTTCTTTCCTCCCTAGAGATGAGGTAATAATTATGTTGACCATGTTGTTAATCATTCTTATATTTGTTTTTATATTCTTACTACATATATATCTATAAACAACATTGAATTTTTAAAAATGTATTTATATCTGTAGATTTGGTTCATTCTTTTTAATTACTACATAATGAGCTATTAATATTCTGTGTTATTTAGCCATTTCCTACTGATGGCCATTTAAATTATTTCTGGGTGTTCTCTGTTATCAGTAATGCTGCAGTGAACATTCTTCTTCACGTTTAAAATTAATTTTGTCCTCTAAAAATAGCCCTTGGGGGTAGGTGAAAAGCAGGTGCTATTCTCATTTGGCAGTTGGAAGAACTTCAGAAATAAAACATAATAGTTTTGGGACACCTGGGTGGCTCACTGGTTGAGTGTCTGCCTTTGGCTCAGGTTGTGATCCCAGGGTTCCAGTATCAAATCCCACATTGGGCTCCCTATGTGGAGCCTGCCTCTCCCTCTGCCTATATCTCTGCCTCTCTTTCTGTGTCTCTCATTAATAAATAAATAAAATCTTTAAAAAAATTTTTTCTTAGAGTCAGTTTACTGACATTTTGCTTTCTCCTATTTGTCCACTCTATTTCTCACTGTTCAAATGGTTTTTCTTATCTGGTCCCATATAACCATCTACTTTCTCCCCTAACACATGGTAATGTTTACATCCCTCTTTTAGAAGTCTGTTGATTTCTTGATGTTTGTAACAACAGCTAGAATTGCTTGGGCAGTAACTCTATTTTATGTTTCTTGTAGCTAACTCCCATTATTTAGTGGTCTTTTTATAGTGATAGCTTATATACAAGTATAGAAATCTCATTATCATCTTTATTTCTTTTTTTTTCATCTTTATTTCTTTATTTTGATGGGATTAAATCTATTTTATGTCCTCACTTATTGCCTAGCACTAAGTAACTATGAAACCTTAAATTCTGGCAAACTAGTCTTTCGTAACAACCTTTCATTCTTCCACATCTCTTTCACGTGTCTCCTATACTTCTTCAACTTCATAGAAGTGGTTAGACTTTGGGTTTGTTTGTTTTTTATAGCCTCCTAATAACTCTCTTCCTAATCTCATTTGTTTCCTTACTTACTAAGCTTTGTGGTCTGTCACTTGAAATGACACTCTTGCTAGCAATTTCAACTCATTCCTTCTGTTGCACTTGTTCAGATTTCCAACTGGATTGATTCAACCCATTTCTTACAAATTATTTATGCTTTATATTTAATGATGCCAACCATAGCAGTTCCTTTTTTAAAATGATATTTATTTATTTATTTATTTATTTATTTATTTATTTATTTATTTATTTATTTATGAAACAGAGAGAGAATAGAGGGAGAGGGAGAGGCAGACTCCCCACTGAGCAGAGAGCCTGACATGGGGCTCAATCCCAGGACCCCAGAATCATGACCTGAGCCAGAGTGAGATGCTTAACCAGCTAAGCTACCCAGGCACCTCTACTGTAGCGATTCTATTTGCTGTTTGTCTTTGGCACATTTCCAGTTTTGTCAACAAATAATTTCTGTTTATTCCTCTCAGTACTGCCAAATCTATATCACTCACTTCAAACCCATATTTCACCCTTATTCTGTATTACATCCTATTCCCCTTATCTCATCTTGTCTTCTTTTCATGAAAATCATTTAAGCCATCATACGTGAACTATTGTGGTTTGCTACATCTCACACCAGTTATTCTCAATTTCTTTTTTTGGATCCTTTTCCTCTTTTACCCCTTGAGTATTGGTGCTTTCCAGAGTTCTTTTCCTATTCTTTTTTATCCTGTGTGCTTTCCCAGGATGATCTCATCTCACTCATTTTAACTCTTACTCATCTGCTGCTGACTCCTACACCTAAATCTGTAGCCTTGACATCTTTTTTTTTTAAGATTTATTTATTTATTCATTCATTCATTCATGATAGGCAGAGAGAGAGAGAGAGAGAGGCAGAGACACAGGCAGAGGGAGAAGCAGGCTCCATGCCGGGAGCCTGATGCGGGACTCGATCCCGGGACTCCAGGTGCCAAACCGCTGAGCCACCCAGGGATCCCCCTGTAGCCTTGACATCTTGCTGCATTCTGAATCTGCATATCTAGCAACTATTGGAAATCATAGCCTGCATTTGTCTCAAATGCCTTAATTTCAACATGTCTAAAATTGATTTATTCTGTTGCTCATTTTTTAATTCTCTATAAGTCAACTTCTGTTCCTCCTTCATTGAACTTAGCTCCCACATCCAATCAGTTATAAACTCTATTGTTTTTATCTAACTAATTTCATATCTGTCTCATTCCACCTGCCTTATATGGTTTTTATTTTACTTTTTAAAGATTTATTTTATTTTTTTTATTTTTAAGTAATCTCTGCACCCAACATGGGGCTCAGACTTAGAACCCCAAGATCAGGAGTCACATATTCTACCAGTCAAGCCACCCAGGCACTCCGCCTTATCTGAGTTTTAGTTCTTATTCAGCTAATATCTCTGCTCCCATTTTTGCCCAAGTCTGTCCTCCACACTGCTCCTTGTCATCTTTCTAATTACTTGGGTTGGATCTGTATGAATATTTTATTTAACAACCATTAACTCAACAAATATTAATTGGATGTGCTAGGCATACTAGTCTAGATGCTGAAGATAAGCAGTGAACAAAATATAGTCTTGGTTCTTATGGAACTAAAATTCTAGTGGTGGGAGATAAATAGATAATGTCAGATGGTAATGAATGCTAATAAGAAAAGAATAGGTTTGGGTGATAGTGATAAAATATGGGGAAGCAGAAGGACTCTTTTCTATGGAAATGTTGAGGAAGGCCTTTTGATAAAGTGGCATTGGAATAGAGACCCGAATGAAGTAAGAGAACAAATAATGCAGGTATCTAGGGAAGAACGACCTAGGCATAGGAAACAGCAGTTAATGCAAATGCTCGTAAATGGAAGCATGCTTGGGATAGTGAAAGAACAAGGGAACCAGAGAATCTGGAACCGAGTAAGTTAGGAACAGAAGGACATCAGATCAGAAAGTACTGGCAGTAGGTTGTTTGTAGCTCCGAAACAGAGTTTGGATTTGACCCTGCATGAGATAGGAAACCATTTAGAGGATTTTGAACGGAAGAGACATGATCATGAGCATGGGAGTGGCATGTCTGTAAAGGATCACTGACTGCTGTGTACATATGGAGATCAATTGGAAGATACTCCAGAAGTCCAGGAGAGAGGTATTAATGGCTCAGACGGGACAGAGGCAGTAGAGGAAACGAGAAGATATAAAGTGCAGTGATAGAAATTGCTGATAGATTGAAAGGGAAAAGATTTCAAGTATGACCCCAAGGTTTTGGGCCATAACTAGAGGAATTTAATTAACCAATGGGGAAATTGAAGGAGTAGAAATCAAGAGTTTGGTTTTTGGAAAGGGTATAGAGTGAAGTGTATATATGTTGAGTGGTGGCTGGATATATAAATACAGCCATAAAAACATAAAGCATAACTTTGCATGGTTTTAAATTTTATATCACTGTTTACACATTTATGCATTTGCTCACTCACTTGCTCTCTTCTGCAATATGCTTGTCTCTTCAACCTCATCTCCTGTCACAAGTCATGCACACGTCATGCTCCAGCAATATTAAACCACCCTGTTCAAATCTCTTTGCCAGTGCTTGCATTTCTTGCTAGAATACTGATTGGCATACTACCAGAATTGTCAAATACTGATTCAAAATCTTGTATTTGTCCTTTACCTTATGAAGTTTTTCATAATCATGTCTTTTGGAAGACTTAATCCTTTTTATTATTTTTATACTTTATATAAATTTTGTTTGCTTTGTATATCCTACTGTCGAATTTTGTGTTTACAAGTTTGTATCTCCTTTTAGACTGCAGGATGGAAAGCCTGTGTTTTTTGTCTTTTTATGTTTAATCCCTGACATACTGCAGGATACAAACAAATGCTTAAATGTAATAAGTTTCTCTCATTTGGATTTATAATTCTAAGTCCAGTGAAGAAAATGGATTATATTAGAAAATAAAAGATTAATCAGCTACAGCAAAGGTTATGCATGTATTTGTCAAACTTAATATCAACAATGATTTCTTGGAAACTATTTGATGCATATGAACTAGTAACTATCTAGTTACTGGGACCCTGAAGGCTTAGAAATGCATACCAGCAAGAAAATTAAAGATGTAGGAAGTTCATGAGAATAGTGTCCTTACTCATGCCTATACCATAAATCTGTTTTATTTATCCTGTGGCTATCACACTTTCTCAAGTCTGCAGATCTTGTCCCTCTGGAAACTTGCTAAAATGCGAATTTCTGAGCCCTACCAGAAGTATACTGTAATATGATTTGTGGTGGTGGGAACCAAGAATTTCCTTATTTATTTATTTTTAAAGATTGTATTTATTTATTTATTAGAGAGCACAAACAGGGGGAGTGGCAGAGGGAGAGGGAGAAGCAGGTTCTTCCCTGCTGACCAGGGTGCCCAACATGGGGCTGGATCCTAGGACCCTGGGATCATGACCTGAGCCAAAGGCAGACCTTCAACTGACTGAGCCACCCAGACGCCCCAAGAATTTTCATTTTTAAAACAACATTAAGTTTTTCATATGTACACCACAGTTTGGGAATAACTGAGTTAGAGAATGTAATCGACTGGAGAGAAAATAGGGATGGTAAAAAAGAAGTAGTTGATGTTAGAGATATTTGAAGGACTGTAATTAACCAATATTTTAAGCAGAAAGTGAATATAAAATGGGAAGAAAAGACCTAAAAACTAAACCACTTACAAGGATTTTTGATACTAATGTAATTCAAAACACCTTGGGCTAAGCATTTAGGAAAAGTTTTTAACATTTACTAAGTAAATTCCATTGAATCTAGGGTAACTGTAGTTAAAGACAGGGAAAAAGCTACTGTTCTATTACAGCTGTGTATTTATTTCTTTTATAATAATGTATGTTTATATTTTGAAATCTTTTTTTAAACTGTGTGTCCTGGGCAGCCCCGGTGGCGCAGTGGTTTAGCGCCGCCTGCCGCCCAGAGCATGATCCTGGAGACCCTGGATCAAGTCCCACATCAGGCTCTCTGCATATAGCCTGCTTCTCCCTCTGCCTGTGTCTCTGCCTCTCTCTCTCTCTCTCTCTCTCTCTCTCTCTCTCTCTGCATCTCTATGAATAAATAAATAAAATCTTTAAAAAAATAAATAAACTGTGTGTCCTAAGTAAATACTCTCTATGTATAGTGTTACTTATTGATGGCTGTTTAGACTGTTTTAATAAAGAGCACTCTTTGGGGCATCTGGCTGGCTCAGGCAAAAGAGCATGCAACTCTTGATCTCAGGGGTTGTAAGTTCGAGCCCCATATTGAGTACAGAGATGACAGATAAATATTTTTTAAAAAGGTACCATTTTGAAGCCAAAACAAAATTAAGTATAAAACCATATCATTTTTTGGTCAGCAATGGAAAACCTAGTTATATGGCCCATAAACAAGATATCAACATTACTTTGTTCCTGCTTAATGTAATTTTACTCCAGGGATATAAGAATGAATAAAGTCATGAGTACTAAATTTGGAAATCCAAATTGTTAGGTATCCATAGATTTCCCAATAAGTGAAAATGGTTCTCGTCTTGTATTTTTTTTTAGGTTCCCAGATTGTGATGAGCCATATCCTCGACTTGTGGATCTGAATTTAGCTGGTGATCCTACTGAAGGAGCTCCAGTGGCAGTGCAGAGGGACTATGGTTTTTGGTGTCCTCGAGAGTTGAAAATTGATCCTGATCTCGGTTATTCTTTTTTACACGTGCGTGATTGTTCACCTCCTTGTCCAAATATGTACTTTAGAAGAGAAGAACTTTCATTTGCTCGATACTTCATAGGATTGATTTCAATCATTTGCCTCTCTGCCACATTGTTTACTTTTTTAACTTTTTTGATTGATGTCACAAGATTCCGTTATCCTGAAAGACCTATTATATTTTATGCAGTCTGCTACATGATGGTATCATTAATTTTCTTCATTGGGTTTTTGCTTGAGGACCGAGTAGCCTGCAATGCATCTAGCCCTGCACAGTATAAGGCTTCCACAGTGACACAAGGATCTCATAATAAAGCCTGTACCATGCTTTTTATGGTACTCTATTTTTTTACTATGGCTGGCAGTGTTTGGTGGGTAATTCTTACCATCACATGGTTCTTGGCAGCTGTGCCAAAGTGGGGTAGTGAAGCAATTGAGAAGAAAGCATTGCTATTTCACGCCAGTGCATGGGGCATCCCCGGAACTCTAACTATCATCCTTTTAGCGATGAATAAAATTGAAGGTGACAATATCAGTGGCGTGTGTTTTGTTGGCCTCTACGATGTTGATGCATTGAGATATTTTGTTCTTGCTCCCCTCTGCCTGTATGTGGTAGTTGGAGTTTCTCTCCTCTTAGCTGGCATTATATCCCTAAACAGAGTTCGAATTGAAATTCCATTAGAAAAGGAGAACCAAGATAAATTGGTGAAGTTTATGATCCGGATTGGTGTTTTCAGCATTCTTTATCTCGTACCACTCTTGGTTGTAATTGGATGCTACTTTTATGAGCAAGCTTACCGTGGCATCTGGGAAACAACATGGATACAAGAACGCTGCAGAGAATATCACATTCCATGTCCATATCAGGTAAGGGAAACCTTGTTCTAAATTTCAGAATGTATAATAGTGAAAAGAAGGCATAGAACTGTGAAGACCTAATCTTAGCTGGTTTTTTTTTTTTTAAAAAAAACTGTGTATGAACTTCAACCTGTACATTAAAATTTTAAAGTAAAGATAATGAACAAATACATTGTAGAAAGAATGTAATACACATGTTTCTATAAACCTCTTCCATTTAAAAAGATGACTTTTATAAGTATATGCTATGGGCTTTTAAGCAAATTACTTCTGTTGTCACAAAACAATTTGCTTGGTGATTGTTTAGAAGTCTACAGGTTTGAGGGCAAGAAGCACCTTACCAGCTGTCTTTTGTGAAAATTTTACTGATGGTTGAAAGAGGAATTCATTGTTTTAACAGTTTTGCAAAAGTAAGAGAATGCAGTTGTACAAACCAACTCATCTCTTAATTGGCCCTGATTTTTCTTTTTTTCCATTCTGAATATTTTATGATTTACCTTTGAATTTAAACAGTTCAGATTATCATAGTCACAGAATCATAGAATTTTAAGTCTAGAAAGAACTTTAGAGGTCATTTATTCAAGTTTCCTTAGTAATTTAAAGTTCTTGAACATCTATCTCATTTGAGGCTTAGAAATGTTAAGGGACTTGCTTATATCCAGACTGGGATGTAGTGTTAGGAGAGGAATATAGCAAAGAAAGTAGTTCAGAATAGTTGATGCTAAGTATTTCTCTATCTTAAACCTTCTCTAGAACCCATGCCCCTAGCTATCATCCTCTTTTCTTTGTAAGGCAAGTTTTCTTGAAAGACCAGTCTCCATTGCTGTCTTCTGTTCATAATGTTCCAAGTTAGCTGTTAAAAGCCATCAGCCACTCTTTCATCTCCCCTGACCTTAATGTTTTAATTACCCTATTAAATTACTTTTGTATTATAATTTTTATCTCTTTCTCCTGCTACACAGTGAACTCTTTGAAAGCAAGGACTTCTTTTTCATATTTTCATATTTTTGAACACATATTCTATAGGTTAGTAGATGGTAACATTGAGAATGTGACTGTATAGATGGAGAAAAGACTTTTTTTTTTTTAAGATTTTATTTATTCATGAGAGACAGAGAGAGAGAGAGGGGCAGAGACACAGGCAGAGGGAGAAGCAGGCCTCCATGCTGGGAGCCCAACGCAGGACCCAATCCTGGGTCTCCAGGATCACGCTCTGGGCTGAAGGTGGCGCCAAACCGCTGAACCACCTGGGCTGCCCAGAAAAGACACTTTTAAGAAATGGTAGCCACTTGGGTGGCTCAGTTGGTTGAGTGTTCAACTCTTGGTTTTGGCTTAGGTCATATACTCAGAGTCCTGAGATTGAGCCCCCCTGTGGGGCTCTGTGATCAGTGGGGAGTCTGCTTGAATTCTTTCCTTCTCTCTCTTACTCTGCTTCTGTCCGCCATCCCTCCCTACCTCTACCCCCGTCCCCCCAACTCTCTCTCTTTCTCTCTTTAAAAATCTTCTCTTGAGATTAATCTTTTTTAAAAAATGGTAACAGTGGTACCAGGGACAAGGAGTGTGTGTCATTAGCACATAATCAATGCTCATAAATATTTGACTGAAAATGCCAATTCTTTTTCTTTTGTTTTGTGGTATAAATAGACCTATACAAAATGATACTTTTATTATATAAGTATTAGCTATGGGCTTTTTTAAAAAACATCTCATATTGAGAGACCAGAATAAATGAATAATCGAAATTGAATTTCTTGACAGAATGACTTATTAAAAACTCTTAATATGAGTTTCCAGACCTGAAGCTAAGTAATGGAATTTTGCCTCTAATGAGAGAGAAAGAGATGGTTGAATTACATCATGCTTCTTTATATAAGTTATCTAAGATTCCAAATATATATTACCTTAGAACTATTGAAAAAATGATATTTGGTTACAAAATAATGATCTAAAAAATACCAAACCTCAAATATAGAAAAGGATGAATTAGAGTGGTTGGGATGCCACTATTTTTAGGACATTCCTAGGATTCTTTCAGCATCTTTAGAACCAGTTTGAGCTGCACAGAAATCTGTGTGTGTGTATGTGCATTTTTTTTGTGGTCATGGGTTAGAAAGTGTTTTTCATTTCCAACATGCAGAAATAACATTGGAAATGAATTATTTACGATATACTGAAAAGAACAGAGACATGGTTATTAAGCTGTAAACTCTGGAACACAAATCCTGGCTTCATATCTTACTTTCATTTTTTACTAGCTTTCAAACGTTAGGCCAACTCCATCCACCTCTCTCTGCTTTAGTTCCTTGTCTGTAAAATAAATAACAGAATCTAATACAATAGTAATAGATAGTATTAATATAATAGTATTAGATACAATAGTACAATACAATACAATAATAATAGATAGTATTAGATAGAAGCAGAATCTCCCTCCTCAGATTGTTCTCAAGAGTATACATGAATGGACTTGGAAGAGTGCCTACCACATAAGTGCTCAGATGTTAGCTCTCATTCATTTTCTTCATTTCTTATTGTTTGTGCTGTTGTTATTTACATACATACATCTATATAAATATGGGTTTTTAAAAATCATCCAGTACCAAGTTTTACCAAATGCCATATTTGCTTCAGACATACATTTATTTATTTAAAAAATTTTTAAAAATTTTTTAAGTAAACTCTGTGCCTTGCTAGTGTGGGGCTTGAACTCACTACCCTGAGATCAAGAGTCTGATGCTTTACTGACAGAGCCAGTCAGGTGCCGCTTGCTTCAGGCATTCATTCATTCATTCATTTCATTTTATTTATTTTTAAAGATTTCATTTATTTATTCATGAGAGACACACACAGAGAGAGGCAGAGACATAGGCAGAGGGAGAACCAGACTCCAAGCAGGGAGCCCAATGTGGGACTCAATTCTGGGACTCCAGGATCACGCCATGAGCCAAAGGCAGACGCTTAACTGCTGAGCCACCCAGGCATCCCTGCTTCAGACTTTTAAGAGAAATCTTTACAGATTTGGCTGAAACTTCCCATGTACCCTTCCTCAGTCCTGTTACTCTGTGCCCAGAGGTAACCATCATCCTAAATGGATATATACCATTCCCATGAAAGTCTACACAACTACCAATATGTATGTAGTGAAAAAACTTGGTTTTACCAAATAATACAATACCATACTATACATGCTTCTATAACTTGTTTTTTAACTTAAGATTTAGTTTTTGAGATGTATTTATATTAATGCTATAGCTCTAGTCGATTTTTATTTATTTTTGAGATTTTTTATTTATTTGAGAGGGAGAGAGTATGAGTAGGGGTGAGGGAGAAGCAGATTCCCCAGTGGGCAGAGAGCCCGATGGAGGGCTCAATCCTGGGACTCTGAGATGTGACCTTAGCCAAACGCAGATGCTTAACCAACTGAGCCACCTCGGCACCCCTCTAGTTCATTTTTTAAAATGTGTTTTCTGTTAAGGAAGTTTATATTATAAAGTGTTTTAAATATATAGAAAATAGTAAATAACATAACAAACACCTGTGCACTCATAGCCAAACTGCCTTGAAATCTTAACATTGGGATCCCTGGGTGGCGCAGCGGTTTGGCGCCTGCCTTTGGCCCAGGACACGATCCTGGAGACCTGGGATCGAATCCCACGTCAGGCTCCCAGTACATGGAGCCTGCTTTTCCCTCTGCCTATGTCTCTGCCTCTCTCTCTCTGTGTGTGTGTGTGACTATCATAAATTAAAAAAAAAAATTAAAAAAAAAGAAATCTTAACATTAGATTATATTTAGCTGGCTGGCTGGCTGGCTGGCTAGCTATCATTAAAGACACAGAAGATGCCTATCTGTTCCCTTAGGTATTCCTTTTCCTTCTCCTTCTCCAGAGGTAATAACCCTTTTCATAAAGATGGTATTTATTATCCTTCCCAGTATTTTTATATTGTGGTTGAATACTTACAAATCTATGAAACTTGCTGTTTGCAAGTTTTAAAAATCCATTAAGTGAAATCATTCTGTAGCTTGCTTTCTCCAATTCAGTTTTATGTGTATACCACTAATTTGTTCATTTTAACTGCAGTAATCTAATGCATAAATAAACTGCAATTTATTCACTCGTTCTTTTATGGACATGTAGTTTCCAATTTTTTTTTGCTGTTATAAACCATTTTACAGTGAACCTTCTTATAATACCTATCTTCCTTGCACATCACCAAGAATTTCTATGAGGTATATACCAGAAAGTGAAATTGTTGCATTGTAAGATACAGATATCATCAAACCAGATGGTTATTTTGGGGGCTTGCTTAAGTAATAGTATATGTGCTGCCGAAGTGAGCACTTGCTTAAGTAATAGATATTGAATGAAATCTAGCTTGTTAAAAAATACTGTAGGTGCCTGGGTGGCTCAGTCAGTTGGATGTCCTCCAACTCTTGATTTCAACTCAGGTCATGATCTCAGGGTTGTGAGATGGAGCCCTGTGTTGGGCTTTGCAGCAGGCATGGAGTCTGCTTAAGATTCTCTCTCCCTCTCCTTCCTTTCCCCACCCTAAAAAAAAAAAAAAAAATGGAAGAAGAAGAAAGTGCTGTAAATATGAACTCATTGTGGTTAAAATCTATTATCTTACTTGATATCCACAACAGTCTTATGAAATAGTATGGCTTCATTTCTGCCACTTTAATGGGGAAAAAGTTGAAGCAATAAGAAATAATTGGCTTACACATTAACAAACTGTATCAGGGGAGCCTAATTTGGGGCTCAATCCCAGAACCCTGAGATCATGACATGAGCCAAAGGCAGATGCTTAACCAACTGAGCCACCTGGGCACCCCCCCCCAATTTAAACCATTTTTAAGTGTACACTTCTGTGGCATTAAGTACATTCACAATTTTGTGCAACCATCTCCATCTCCAGAAACCTTTTCATCTTCTTAACCTGAAACTCTGTACCCTTCAGTCAATATCTCCCATTCTTCCCTACCTTCCAGCCACTGGCAGTCATCATACTAC